CCCGTTGATTATAAACCAGCAGAACCATTGTCCCCTTAAAGTTGGCGAAAATGTGCAGATATTTAAAAATATTAAAGAACATATTATTTTTGATACTGTTTTATCAGAGAAAAAGAGATTTCAGCAAAATATCGCAAAACGTTTTAATTATGGAACGTGGAATAATTAAGCGGACAGGAAAATGTCTACCCAATTTTTCCGTCTACATAACTGTCGCTTTTTTAGCGCGGTATGTCTACTTAACTACCGTATTAGATATATATATATGTTGTTTGCTTTGTCAGATGGTAACTGACATACTTGGATAGTGTTTTTTATGAATAGCTGTTCAGTTTCTGACAATTGCATGGTCATGCTTCTTTTCTTTGTGTGGGATCATTCTTATTACACGTGTATGGCTTTTGTTTTCTGCATGAGGGATTTAATTTTGTGTTGGTGATTTTAATTTGATGTGGTTTTCTACCTCTTAATGTAGGCATGCACTTTATGTTTAGGTAAGCTATTGCTGTGGAGTTGACTTGTTGACCAAAGTGTAGATAGTGTGATATGATCAAAGTTGAGTGTTTTTGCATGGTGTGACTATTGTGTCTCTAACAGAAATTGCTTTTGGATCCTTCAAACACCAATAAAAAGTGATAGAATTTAATGGTCAATACCTCCTAAAATCAATTTACAATTTCATTTATCTCCTAATAATTAATAGGTCAACATATATCCATAAATGCATATATCTTTTAAACATTTACTCGCAGATCGTTTTTCAGAATACGTCACAATCATCGAATGACGTGAAATATGTGAACAAGTTTACAAAGACTGACTCTGATGAATCTTCCGCATTAATCTCAAAAGATCCTATGAAAAAACATCTTCCATTACTTTATCCTTGTTTTAACCCTTCGTAACCAATAAATTACAATACCTACCTCAGTATCAATCCCCTAAGCTAATTATATTATACTTAAACTGCAGTGGCGGCGCGTCAATAGGGCCAACCAGGGCAATGCCCCGGTTGTTTTTTCGGTATAATAAAAAATATTCGAAAAATACCTCAATATCGGTTGCACAGACTGTCTACACTAGCCATATTCTCCCGACATGGTTCATTTTTCGCTCGTAAAGCCTTCGCCGAACGTCGACGGGGCGACGCCGATTTTGCCCCGGTTGCTCATTGTATATCGTATTCTCTCTTTTATCTTCCACTCGCTGCGTTTGTCTCGTTTGTTTTCTGTTTCTTTTACTAAATCATCGGGGCCGATCGGGGCTAGCCCCGAAATTATGACGACACAATGCCGATGTTTCTTACAACAACGTGTTGACATATTCACGCATTCCTTCTCGTTCGTTGGTTGCTTGAAGAGTTGATAGTTTCCTCGCCTTCGTTTTTGTCGCTTGTTTCGCTATTTGAATCAGTTAGAGACCTTTAGTCCATTTGCTTTCGATTTTCCACATTCCTTTTGAGCTCCTCACTTCTTTCCGGCTTCGCATTTCTTAGCCTTAGACCTCATAATGAATAAGGTTGATGCACTACTTCGCACTCCGTTTTCGCAGCTGCCGCTGGAACAAAAATTAGAGGTACAACGTCTTGGGCCTTATCAACCAAAAAATTGTTCACTGGAACAATCCCATGACGGAGGAAAGCGTCGGCGTACATTCTGCGCAGAAACTTGGTATAAAAAACACGAATGGTTGTGTTACAGCGAGGACAAAAATGCACTTTTTTGTTTTTATTGCCTACTTTTTGCTACCGCCCGTGACTCACGTTGGTGTAAATTTGGTTTTACAGATTTTAAACATCTTTCCGAGCGTGCCAGGGATCATCAATCTTCTATGGAGCATCTGGACAATGCAGTAAAATACCGAACATTCGGAAATGTTAATATTGCAGCACAGTTGGATGAAAGACGCGCGGTTTCTATTCGTCGGCACAACCAAAACGTCGAGAAAAACCGCCATGTTCTCGGTCGATTGATAGAAGTTCATTGGTTGTCACGAGCTGTCCCTCCGTGGGCACGATGAACGGGCTGGCTCTTCTAATAGAGGGGTATTTTTGGATATGGTGGAATACACCGCATCCCTAGATACAGTATTGAGAGATCATCTTGATGCCGCAACTGTTTCGAAAGGGACATCTAAGGATATCCAAAATGATTTGCTCGACTCAATGTATAAAATTTATTTACAACGTTTGGCTCTGGAAATTGAGAATTGCCAGTTCCTTTCGATTCAGTCTGACGAGACAACTGACATCACGTGCGTTTCCCAACTGGCTGTGATTTTTCGGTTTGTGAAAGATGGTAAACCTTCCGAGAGATTTATTTTGGTATTGGTACAGCTTTGTACCAATCGTTGATCGCACGGCTTGCGGGATATCGGCTGTACTGAAAGAAGTGTTACAGTCTTACAACGCGAAGTCAAAATTGATAGCTCAAACTTATGACGGCGCGGCAGTCATGAGTGGGTCGAAACATGGTGTTCAAGTTTATATAAAAGAAGATTTTCCTCATGCGCATTTTTTACATTGTTATGCACACCAATTTAACCTCATTATTAAAAATATGTGTCTTGATACCCATCTTGTCCGTATATTTTTTGCAAATGTTTCGGGGTTTTCTTCATTTTTTTCCTTTTAGCCAAAAGCGCTCTGACCTCCTTCGCCAGATATGTAGTGCCGTCTCCCAGCTTGTGCACCAACACGTTGGAACTTCCAATCACGCGTGGTGCAGGGCGTGTCCGAAATTAGGTCTGAGCTCATTGAGAGTTTCAATGGCATTCAGAGCTCTCCGGTTTGGGACGAACGCTCTGTGAGGGAGGCGGCAGGTCTAAAGCGTCTGCTAGAAGATGGTGAGTTTTCATTTCTTCTCGCTTTTTTCTCCACAATATTCTATCACGTGGATGTATTATACGGGCATTGCAGTCAAGGCTAATGGATGGAGCGTCTGTGCAGTCGTGTATTTCAGACTTCTGCGATGCTGTATCTCGTATCCGAGAAACAATAAAATACGACGACACATGGAGTGCTTCTTTACGCCGCGTGCAAACAACGCAGCGTTTGATTTTGTCTGCAAAGGAATGCTGTGACATTCTGGTGGATCAAATAGGCGATCGTCTGCGCACTGAACACCTTGCCGCGTTTTTCTTTGATGAACCCCAAAAAATTTTCCAAAATTTTGCACGTCAATTTCCCATCCATTTGTTGGCTTACTGTCTCCAAATTTTACCCCATGATAAACGTGGGTAAATTGGAAAATGAATTGCGATGTATACACACCAATCAAACTTTTTTGAACATCACATCAACTTGCGCGCTCTATGGGTTCCTCATAGATAACACTCTAGTAACTACCTTTGCGGCGTCTGCAAAATTTCTGGACATCATTTTTGACGACGCCTATTTCTTCCGCCGACGCAAAGCGAACATTCAGCACGCTGAAGCGTATTAAAACGCATCTCAGAAACACAATGAAGCAAGATAGATTAAATTCCTTGGCTGTTTTATCCTTCACAGAGACGTTATTTCTGGGATGCATGACTTTAATCAGCGCGTTATTGAGCATTTTGCTTCCAAGAAACCGCGGCGTGTTGCATATATGTTCAAGCAGTAGAAGTCTAGCAGCATATATATCTATGAGTGAGCGACGCAGCGATCTTATCTTTGCATTATCTTTTCTTTCTTCATAGTAACGTTTTAAACCTTATTTTAGGTTTTGTCTGCTTTACCGAAGTTTCTGTTAATATGTCATTGTATTTATCTGGGTAAATATTGCCTTTCCTTTTGAAAGAGGTTTCAAAATAAACTATGTCTATATTTATTAATCCTTTGACTTGGACCGGTTTTAAAGACACTTTCTTATCGTTAAAAATTGTCGCCTTTGCCGATTGGTTGTTACCGATGGAATGATTTTTATACTCATAAAATGATGGGAGAACTTACAGCGCTCATCCTGTCCCCGTAGATGGGGGTGACTTGGTCCCGCAGTAGCTTGCCCCGGTTGTCAAAATCACCACGCGCCGCCACTGCATTACTGTATTAATAGGTTTTAAGTGTAATTCGTTATTGGACACGAAGTGGACATAACGATCGTTTCAATATTATGTTGTTTGTTGTTGTTGTATTTGTTCTTTGACACGTTTTTAAAAAGTCGCTTTTCTCTTCGAATACTGGACCAATTGCTTTCAAATTTTCAGTGGTTAAAGATTAATTTTTTCGCTAGAAGGCTATTACTTTTATTTATTTCAAAATTTTGCGTGAATTCTATGAAATTTGATATTTCGTCTAAAATTTTGCTGTATTATTTTTTATCCATGGGAACACGGATTTTAGTCAGTGTCATGACTGGCTGTACGTTTTGATTCTGCAAAATTCTTGCTACTAGAAATTCAGAACTTTTTTGAGGGTACCGGTAGCGTCAAAGCTACCGGTAAGGACTGATTCGCTCTGGTCTAACGTGTCCATATATTTGTGCGTAGCTCTCTTGTCTGTTATTTGGATCAGTTGGATTGTGCATCTTTACAAAATAAAAACATTTGGCATTCATCTATTGTGTGCTCATTAACTTCTGAAGAGTTCAGATCGGAGTTGCACTCTGTTAACGTGTTAACACGGGAGTGTGGATACGCAGATAGGGTAATAGTCCCCTATACCGCCAAGCATTACTGTCTGCAATAGAAGAAACCGTTCGTCATACCACAAGAGATTGTGACGTATACAAGCCATTAAAAGTTCAAATGTGGCATAATATTAATACAGTGTTTGCCGAGTGTTACATTCAAAATTCGCCCTCGCATGAGTATCCAATATTGTCTTCGAGTTTGGTACAGTCGCGGTTGTGTCATTTTCAATAAACGAATGCTAAAATGATTTTTAGTGCTCGCCACCTTGCTCACTAGAATTCATACGCAAAACGACAGACCACGCCCAGAGGAATGTGTCTCAAAATGTTATCACGGTTTATTTATATAGCACCCAAGATTAAATATTAACAGGGAAAATTAAACGACGCTACTTCAACCATGTCGATATATCTACGTTATTTCGACTGGAAAAATTGTTGAGTAATTGTAATAGAGTCGCTATAGCAGACATAAACGAGAGGTTGAGTGTCAACTGTTTTTATCCAACTACTGGAATATTTAACAGACAAAAGTCACAAGGTACGTTATGGTACAGATTACGAATATTCATCAGTCATCGGTTATCATTGAACATATTCAACAGATATAACAAGCACCTTAGTGCAGTGAGACATACCATAAAACTTCTTCTTTCGAGTTTGCTTCATAGCTTCTGTTGTTGAAATTTTAAAATCTGTCCATCTGAATTACAACATGAATTCGATGTTTTAAAGACAGTATTAGTTTTACGGTGTATTATCAGTTTCAGCAGTTGTGTATATAATACACATATATTAACGATGGGAACTCATGCCATCTTGTACGCGTCTTGATAGTAGCTCCAATGAATACATTATTGATCGAAATGATGGCGATAACCTACAAACTCTGTGACTTGGAATCAGGAAATACTTGCTATAGAGTTTGAGCACGGAGCTCCACCGCATTCTTTTCCGTATCGCATAACCACCTTTTCATGTTGTGTAAAGCTATGCCGTGTTTTTTTTATTTATTTATTTATAAGATAATACCTAGATGACATTTTTGTTACCTCACTTAAGTTTTTTTCAGAAAGCAAAAAGCATGGAAGAGAAAACAGAAAGTATTCCGGTTTTCCGCTGTTGGTGGTCACCATCGGATGAAGGATGTACAGATGTGAACCCAGAATCAACGCATTTGGATTTCAACCAGTATGGATGGCTATATATTGGAGGTGGAGTTTTGGTACTCTTCGCATTTATTGGATTGGTTTCGGTGTTGTGCAAGGCAACAACGCCAAAGACAAAAACAAAATCTGTCCGTACTGTTTAATTGGTTACACTTTGAAAAATATTTTGATGTACAGAAAGTGCAATGACAATTAAGCTACATATTAAACTGGAGTAATTTTTTTTAGATCTCCAATGTACATAACACACTCTTGTTATGAAATACTTCAAAAATATATGCGAAATAATCGTAAATAGTATAATTGTCTTAACATCTATATATAGAAGTTTTTACAGACAAGTAATATTAGTCGGAGAAAATCAAAAACATATCTGTGACAAGGTGTTGCAGATTGTGAATGATAATTCTAAGACAAATTTCAGATATATAATTTCAGATATATAATCGCACAACGTAACCATGATGTATTGAAATCGACAGTAGTTTTTATTAAAAAACATTTTATTATTCTTTTTATTTTGCACATATTGGTTCAGTATTTAATTGCTTGCAATTGTATAATTTTGTGTGTAAAAAATCGTGCATGTTTATTTCAAGCGGCGTCTGATACTTACATAAATGATATCAATATGATAGAGGTATAAATGGTAGAGCTATAAAAATGTTGGAGACATAAGGAAGTTTGTTATGTTTAAGCACATCTAAAGGATTGAGGAGAGGATTAAAAGAGGGACGTGGGCCCTAACTAATGCCAAGGTTTCTTCTGAGATGTTGGCTAGTAAAGATTTATTCCTTCAAAAGAGTGTATATATATCAGTGGTACTTAACCAAGAAGCATCAATCACATCCACGTGGAAAGGGAGCGGAGCTTCGTGCGACGTACTTCGTTGCGGTATGGTAGCTTGTTAAACAGGGATAGGACAAAATGCAATAAACATTCATCCCAAAATATATATATATATATATACTCCGTGGTGAAAATCAAATTTTTCGTCAGCCGGTTCCTTCACAAAAGTCATATTTTTCAGCCGGTTCTGTCACAAACAGAACATTGACAGTAACCAGTAATGCTTACCGGTTCGCTGATCTCATAAAATTCCGTGAGACGGTTCTATAGAACCGGTGCGAACCGGCTGAATCCCACCACTGTATATATTTAAAATAACAAAAACAAGGGACTGGGTAAGGAATAAGCAAAGATGTGTACTGCCCGGCAATCAATCAATAATCATTTTATTCGTCAGCACAAAATAAACATATCATAAGAAAAAAACGTTTCAAACACAATATGAACTTAACTTAAGTTGTGTGACAGGAGTCGCGAGGGACCTCATAAGGTCTTCAGGCAGCGACACCTTAAAAGCTCGCTGATTCAGGTCAGTGAGCACAAAAAGTTAATGAAACACCAAAACACTTCAAAAAATATTATAAGAAAAAAAGCAAAACAAAATATTAACGAATATGTTTCATGAGTGGTTTGTAAAAGCAAAACATTACAGTTATAAGCATGTTTCTTAAAATCCACAACCAACGATGCAACTTAATGCACTGTATAAATTCATCAGATATATAGAAAAGAAAATAAATGTAAAATAATATACTATATCAATTACCCAAACGGGATCAGCCATTGTCCTGATCATCGGCATGGCGTAAGCAAGCAATTAAAAATTAGATTCTCAGAAAGTCAGACTCCACGCACATGCACGCAAGTGCTTCTTCGCATTTGAATTCGATTTATTGTCATGTTAATTTCTACTGTGACTGGTCAGTGGTCACTATGATCCTCTGGTGCCTTAAGCCTAAAGTGACCATAACTATCTGAGAACCTCTATTTTCTGTTATCCTCTCCAGTGCAATATTTGAACTCGTCAATATCTTTAACCCGATTAATTCAAACAAATCCTAATCACAGGGTTAGTTTATCAATACTGTGACTTTTGACAATCAGATTGATGGATCAGCATGATTTTGACAAGACCGTAGCCAGTCCATTTTTTTAAAGACGTAATACGACGCTTACTCGTGCCTTTGTTCCAAACAAAGCCACACAAAAGCGGCCACTGATATCTAACAATACCTTTGAAGCGGGGTTTTCCATACTTTTTGGGACGCGGACCCCTGTTTGTGAATCATAGTTTTGACGGACCCCTATTATATGCCGTATCAATTTCTGTGCTTAACCAACGAGGAAGGACAATATTGCATGTACAACACATACGACATTGATGTGATGGAGGGGGTTGCTTTTCACTGCACAATTTCTTAATTCACGGGGCAATCTGTGACAAGCGTAGGTCCGACTCTATGGAAGGTCTCGACCTGTATTTTGTCATGATGTTGGTAAGAGCTGAAAATGCTGCCTCACACATGTAGGTCATTGCAAAAGGCAATAAAATTTTAATTGCCTTTTCTGACAGCAATGTATATCCATCCGCAATGCTCAGCCAAAAAGATGCAATATCATTTTGATTGAAATCAATCATTAAAGACCGATCAGACTCTTCATATCATTGCGGACCCCTGTGCAGTCATCACGGACCCCAGTTTGGGAAACCCTGCCTTAAAGAAGTTCTCTACAATACATAGTTACTTCGCTATCGAAGTTATCCAAGGTATTTACCCATCGCATTTTCATCGCTGAAGTCATTCGTTATGGAAGAGAAGCTTAGAAAAAGTCTGTTGCCTTAATAAATAAAAATATTTGCATCCTGTGATCAGGTACATAAACTTGATACTCATCGATACCATTCACCCTTTGTCGGTCATCTCCCCGAGTCTCTTTTACATGAGCTATTTCAAGTTACCCTGAAAAGGCCATTCAAAGACTTGAATGAAAATGTAGGTGGCACGAAAGATTAAGCACAATAGACAGATTTTCGTAATCTATGATCGCAAACCTGTTTTTCATGAAACTAAAGTCAATTTCATGTATATATAATAGTTTTTACAATGCGCCATTACGCCAATTTGTCTCTGACTCGTGGCGTATCATAGGTTTGTGATTCAGCAGAATCCACCACCGATGCGAAGATGTTACAAAGTGTATACACAGCCTCTGCAAAAAGCCGAAGTATGAAACAGCTTCAACGCAGCAATACCATATGCTTGTCCTATGCAATTATTGAAATCAATGTATGCTGTGATAAATACCGAAGTAAAAAATTTGGAAGCTATCGAATTATTACGTTGTGAAACGCTATGCTATAGCCTACATACTCATTCTTCGCCATGTTAACATTGCGCTCAATTCGTTTGAAGATAGTTACGACATAAATTGTTCCAGACCAAATGCAACATTTGCTTACGCCACATCCTTTTGTAGAAACGCTGCGATATATTTAGATTTAGAGGGCCTAGTTCTGCCAGCTTGTCATTCCAGAGTCAACGTCATACTACATATCTAAGACATAGTATGGCGACTTGTGTATTGTGCGTATGTGTGTCATTCGCTACTTGTTAGTAGAACATGACCGGGAAGGCAAGAGAGCAATGCTCAAAGCGAAATGGCGATTTTTACATATCTTATTTCCATTCTTTAACACCGGAACCTGGGGCATGAACGTGCCATAAGCTGATTCTGTCTTGTACTAGTTTTATCGCTATATTTCATGTCTGTTGTCCTACTATACCACAGCAGTCCGAAGCTGCAATTATACTTTCTAGAGGTGCATGTCGCACAACTCGGTCTTAGGCCAGTTTTTTGACGGTACCTTGCAGTATATTACCGTATGTAAGGCACTGTAAAAGGTAAGGTAGGCAGATCAGTGAGACCACTGCTTCGCTTCATTCATTTTAGTTGCATGGACTTCAGAAACCCATAACCAGGTTATACACAAGAAGCGATCCAAAATATTGCTTATCCACGCAAGAAATACAGCATGCTACTACGCTCCACTACAAATATATTTTTATACGTTACAGAGACCAAAAAACAACAGTAACGGGCTATTGAAACAAGTATGGAAAACAAGCAAATGTATATATATATATATCGATGGCAAGCACATGCTACTGCTTGCTGGAAAGACAGCTTTACTTCCATTGCAGATTCAGAGGAGTTGGCATCAATAGCAAAGCAACTTTTCAGATGATGGTGCCGATTGCTTACTTGGTCTTTTGAAATTCAAGCTAGAAAAACTAGCAGTTCCAGCATTACAATTAAAATCATTTGTTGCGGGTGAAAACTACATGAACTCATCTACCTCTAAACAACATTGAAAATATTATTGTTAGGCTTGACATTCCTTTCACTCAAAATGTTTTTTTGTGTATATGACATATATGATGTATGGTAAGAGTGAATGCCAAATTATTTTCCTGAATGAAAAATAAGTAACATTTACCATCACAAATGGCATAGACTTAATGAAGTTATATCCGGCTTGATTATCGTAATACCAGTGGATGTTCAGAAATTTACTGATAAGAAATTGAAGCTTAACAGCTATATGTAACAAATACCTAAAAATTATTCAGTTTCCTAAAACAGTATGAAACATATAGTCATAGCTGATATAGTCACCATTTGGTATAAAATTACTGAATAAATTTTATATATGCAAGAGATGAGTGATAGGAGATAAGAGTTTGCAAGAATTAAGATTACTGGTTAGAAGTCACTGGCTGGAACATTGAAATATATAATTAGTCTAAGACTTGTCCTGGAAGCCATTATGTTTGCAGACTCCTACAGAACCATCAGCCAAATGTGTTTTTATGAAGTATCAGAGTTTCCTCAAATATGAAATGAGAAACGTTGGAGTTAGGCGAACGAATAAATAAAGCAATCAAAAATTTATCACATATTGTAATTTAAATAATTAAACGAGAGCATTTGGTAGTCGCTCGGTACATTGTCGATAACTTTTATATGGATACATAACTGATAAAAAAATATTGTAACACTGCATGTGTGACATTAATGAAACATGCTAAGAATTGTAAAAGTTAAGCTTCCCACCACATGTACTTTACTACCTCTAAATTAATACTTAATTATGATTAAAGGCAACTAACTAATATATATATTGTATTTGCCATCATAAAATCGGTATTGAGCTTTGTAGTGAGTAGTCCTCTGACATACAAGTCAGCAACCAAAAACTATATTTTCGTGTCATTCTCTCACCAAGCAAAGGCAAGACTGTGACATGACAGGAATGATCCATAAATACCACTCCGCTTTGCAGAAAATGCAGCATGGGTTTCTCCAGTCGCCTAAATAGTATTACATATAATATGATCACACCACAGGTGCACGAAATGACGAGTATATAACGAGTATCTTCGACTTCTTCTCTCCATCTGACTTTATGAATATGGATAGTGGAATCTTCATAGAATCTCTATGTATGTGAGTGGAACTTTTCCTTTTAATGATCGTCTTTCCCCCATCACATAATCTTGATGCATACCAGGGACAGCAGTAACTGTAATTACCTAAATAGAAAATAATAAGAAGCTTGAAAAATAACCCATTTTGGTGATTTCCAAATTTTGATGCCGTTAACTATTGATTGAGAGTCAAGTGGGCATGGAAGTAGCAATCTGAACTTTGGGCCGTAATCATAATTAAAAGATTCTGATAATTAAACATACTAATACTTCAACAATACTCAAAGTCACAATACAGAAATTTTATGCTCAAATTAAATGTAAGATATTATTGTGGTTAAATCAACTGACTGTGATTTTACATTTGAAAGAAATTGAGAGAAATCCATGCAGAGCACAAGGAAATAGATTGTTATCAATGATATACATAGCAAAATAAATTTGAAGCACAAAAAATCATATTCACTATGATAAATCTTGACAGATATCCTGACAACAGAGCAAGTTTCACTATATTGTAAGTATCTTTTATATATCATATTATGATTGAAATTATAAAAGTTTTTCCCTGTTGCATCTTAAGATTGTTTTTTAATTCTTAATCATGTAATCAATGGCAAATCATTAATTTTAGAATCATATCATTTTATATTTATTCATAAGGATTTGGACGAATCCAATGTACACCAACGTGCCATTTACTAAGGAAAATCCAAGAGAATAGGTCATCAATGAACTGCATTATGTGGGTATGTGCAGGAGACGACAATTCCTGTTATTAGGGTGCATAAATTGTCAATTAATGGAACAAGATGTCTGTGATTCCCAGTATATGCTTTAAAAACTATTGAGAGATGGAGAGATAAATTATCAAATGTCATATCATTGATGATCCTAAAGGGGTTTTGAAGTTCGGGCGTCTTGCCTCATATATTATTGACTAAACATGACTGATTCATACAATACTATTGCTTCAAATTGAAAAAAAAATCCTTCAATATAATAGGCTAATTGTTTTTGGAACAATAGAAAAGAAATGAAACCTGAAATCAAACTTAAAATCACAAATCAGTCCAAAATAGGTATACATTGGCATAGCAAAATGAAAAATAAAATTTTTAACATTCCGAAAAGATGATTGGTAGGACACAACAAAACGACAAAGTTTTGTTATATACTTGAAAATCAATTACCCCATGTCGGAGCTGGTTGAGTGTGGCGTCAGAAAATTTAAAGTAAAATTTTGTTCGGGGATGTGGTCGTATACCTCGTCAGCGAGTAAAGATAGCTCAGTTGTGTCGTTGGCATCATAGTCATAAAGAACTCTCGCTTTTCGTGATCCAATGAAAGGTAAATTCGCATCTCTTGCTGTTATATCATTAACATCAACAGGAGCTGAAGGTTGTAGTGCTCGGTTAAATGAACCTGCACCTGCTGTTGGTGAATCACCTAAGCTGTAAATTGAGAGATTAGAGGTTAAGAGATTAAATTGAGAGGTTTTACTGCTCACATGTAACGGTAACCAACTTCAGACATCCAGTAGGCCTACACATGAAAAATTTAGCAAAAAAGGCAAGAGAAGATAAGCGACTATCGCATAACCTAACAGCAATATATGCATCGGGCAAAATGACAAAAGATTTATTGCAGAGACAAGAGTAGAAAAACCTTATGTAATTTTATCTATGTGAGCACTGTTTCAAAGAAACTGGTCGTGATAAAATTTAATGCTTAATGAGAAAAAATCGAAGTGTTGACAAAATTATTCATGTATTTTATGAAATAATTGTACTAGTAAGTTGTATTGGTAAAATATTGGGTACTATCGTGGTGTGTACCAGTTTAGGGTTGGGCGTTAGGCTATAATTTCATTCAGATTTTCCTTGTTTTAGGTTTATTACGAGTTCAAGGACTGTCTGTGTTAGCCAAGTGAATATATGCTTCCGTCCCTTCACACAACTTGATGTAAAGTAGGTAGGGTTGTCCAAAATCGAATAATTTTTTGATTCGAATCGAATCAAATATTTTCGCCGAATCGAACTGAATATTATTGCGCAATCCTAAATCTGTCTCTATTATACAATAAACGCCTGCCCTTCGATGTTGTGGTGACGTATGTGCAGTTACATCTTACTTACTGCTGGTATTTTGCAATACAATGTTTTCAGATTTATGATCATACGCTTGTATGAACTCGTCAAAAAATTTTGAGCTCCAAAATTTGGGTCTCGAAAACTGTTGAGTGTTAAGGCCTAAGGGTAAAAATTACAATCTCAATTCTAATGGATTCAGTTTTAATAGGACATGTAAAGCCTGTAGATGCTATTTTAATTCTATTCACTAGGGTTATGTTTTTTTGTGTAATTTTCAGCAAATAATAACAACCATTAATATAGATAAAACTGTTGCTCAAATTCAAAATTGCATTTAACAAATTCGAAGCTAGTTTGATGACTTTAATATTGTTAGTGTAAAACAGCCATCAAAAATCAAGAGTGCAATTATTTGTCTTGGTATATTGATGAATAATACAGTATTGCCATTATAATAAATTCCAAATTCCATTGAAATAAAGTATTGCCAACATAAGGATCCCAAAACACCTGTTTCAGCTTTGAGTTGCCTGTACCAAGTTCCTCCTTGTTCTCGCTCAAAAAAGTCATTACTGATAACTTTTAAGTTATGATGACCATGCATGAAATGGCTAATCACGTGCCACCGGGCGGATATCGGGAAACCAATTAAGCCAGGAGCGAGAGTGGTCTAAACTCGAAGCACCGCCGCTTGCACCATAAAAAACGTCCTGCAAAGGTGGTTTCCGCTTTATGTACCTAATCTTAGCGATTCGAAAATTAGCTGGAAAACGAGCGATTCGATTTTGAATATTTGGTTCGCTTGGACAGCCCTAAAAGTAGGTGAACAAAATTAGTTACTTCCATATTGGTACACACACTTCTGGAGCGCCAAATATTGAATTCAATTGAATATTCAGCCTTACTGAAATACTTTTCAGTCTATAGTCATAGTCGAGTTTTTTTTTTTCTATCCAGTAAAAAAAGTTATCATGCAACAATAAGACGAAAAATATTGAATAAACATTTCACTAGTGAAGGGAAGACGCGGGGAACCAAAGCTTGTTATAGAAGATCTTAACTATCATAGCGAGTAGCAACTCGTTGATCAAATATGTAAATATTCACATGATTCAATATATTCAAGCGGCGAGCAGTCTCACCTATTCAATTCAGCTTTGAGTTCCTGCATTACTTGATGACAGGATGCGTGATATTGTGACTGTGCTTCAATAAATTCATTCAAACTTCGAAAGTGGTGTGACTGTAAAAAATAAGAGGTACATTAGTGAATGTATGAATGACAAGTAATTTGAATCCATTAAATAATGAAGTTAAAAGAGAAATCCCCATTTACATAATTTTGCAATATTTCATCATACAGTTGTTACTTTATTATGCAAACTTTCAATATATAATTTTACAGGCAAGGATGGGCAATTCAGAAAAATTTAATTCCAAGAATACTTATTAAATTGAATCCAGAATATTGAAGCGAAACCCATTCCAATATTATAAACAGTAATCTAGTAAATGGTGGGAACTCTTTCACACATTGTTAGATTCAAAGTTTTATCAAAAAAATTGTAAATGTATCGCTGTCTTTGTATCACTACATGAATGTGACTGTATAACTTCAATATAAAATTTCAGGTCAAGAAAATAATAAATCAATAATATTGTTCTATATGACCGACGACACGCCTTAATCTGAACTGAATGACCTTTCATTATCCATTCATCCGTGATCAATTAGACATAACCACTGCCTATATATAAATGAGAAACTGAATTAGTTTCAACATTCGTTAAATCATTTGTGGGTAATGCATGCTATAAAATTTCCTTTATCAGGTAAAATTTCCAACTTATTGTAGTTTTGAAAAATACAAGGTCACATTTTTCACATGTATATTTGACTGAGCCCAGATATATAAAATGTCATTGTTCAATAAGAAACAGTGAATAAACTGTTTACCCATGAAGTTATGATTTAATAGTTCAAAAAAATATCAGATTATAATTGTGCAGAAAAAATGTTCACTGCTTTGCCTGGCCATTGGCAGAATTGCAACTGCTGACTGGTACAGGCAAGAACATACTAAGGTGAAGATTAAATCAACAGATGCTTGTGATGACATAACCATAAACTGTATAAATGTATCAGCAAGGCTGGATCATAACCTTACAAAGTAAAACTGAATCATTATTAAAATAGCTACGTCCTGTCTAAACAATAGGTGACTCATGAATTACGTCATTTGGCTTTTCAGTGTAATTCCGATAGTTTCAACATGACAGAAATCATGTTGTATCTTTAAACAGGTTTATTCAAACCAAGGTTTTATATTATTGGGGTATCTGAGATCTGTGAATACAATACTGTCAAATTTATATTAACGCAATTATATGTATTATCAAATAAGAAATTACAAAATTTCTCACAAAACCTTCACATTTCCAAAGGTAGGAAAGGGTAATATCAGTGTTATAGTATTGATTTAAGATGCATGCTCTCTGCTGTGTGCACAGAACCCTATCACATGCCAAAACCATAGTTGCACAGCCCGATTAGTAAACAAGTAAATCTTTTGTATAAATAATTGTGTACTGAAGAGAGCATGAATCAGCATACCTGAAACCTTGCCATGAGTGATTCAGTTTGTTTTTATATAATACAAAATTTCATCCATACATTTTAGACCAAAAATATTACCAGAGAATTGAAAAAACAAATAGATGTGTTTAATTAAACATTCTTTGTGAGTAGGGTACAACATTTATAAACATTATTAAATTTCTTCTTCAATAACAGCCATGATAGTTAAACTTGAATTAATGAATGGTAGAAGTATTCAGATGTGAGCTTACACTTCTAAGCAAAATTTATAGCTAACAAATCTAAAATCTACATTGAGGCTCAAATATTTGGATGTTTTATTTATGATTTTGTATTATGTCTAAAATTACTCAGCCAAAAGATTGGTTTGAAATATTTAATATAAAGCTAAATATAGCAAAGAAACGAGGATCACACTTCTGTTAAATAGATTGTTTGCATGTGACTGCCAGATGATAGTACTCGTATAAATGCTGGAATGATTTGTTTGGTATTTACATATATCAGGGAATTGCAAAGCTTGATGAATAGATACAAATAATTGCCAATAGATACAAAATTAGTATGTTCTATGTAGCTTTTAGGATATGGTGGACGAAGAAGAATACATCTTGAATTAGTCTGACTGTAACTTGTGTTATTATGTTGGTAACATTTACAATACTTAAGTGTAATAAGTGGAAGTGAATAAGCTCTGAAAAATATTACTTCCATATGGCATATTATATTCTAAACTCCACTTTTAAACACAAAATCAATTTTTCATTATATGGATTGGGCATTCTGAAGTTTCATAATCCGACAAAAGCTATGATTATAACAATAATCTATAATTATTGATATAAGAAAGCATGCTTGTAAATCCCCAGGTATTACATTAGTTTCATAACATGGGCTATATCATCAAATCAAACACATTTCAATTGTTGATGAAATATTCTTTCGCGAAAAACTTAGGAAATTCTGCTATGAAGAGTAAGTGCTCATTAGGCTCATATCTTATCACTACTCGTAGCAATATTCATGAGTTTTAGGTCCACGCATAGCGAGTTACACGAGCTTAACGGAAATAAAAAATATACATTTCCTCAATTTCTAAAAACATCTTTTTCAAGTTTCTGTGTTTTGGGTTAATGGCTAAAGCTATTGTCATACAAACTAATGAAAAGGACATTTAGAATATTTTTTGCAGCATAATTTACCAATTTGTTTTTCATGCTTTAATTTCATAAAGATCAAAGTACATTAAATTGGGCAATTTTGCTCAATACTAAAGGTTCTAATTAATTTCCTTTTGCTAATATTTAGCTAAAAGATATACGGTAATACTTGAAAAGCAATCAGTCAGGAAGGGTTGTCCAAAATGAATTGAATATCAATATTTTCGAATACTTTTTCATCTGATTTTTAGAATAATGGCCACTTTTTGTTGTCAGCAAGATGATTCATTTTCGAGGAAAATCTTCAAATGATTTTCTGCGCTTGGTCATATGTTGTTAAAACGATGATATAGAATCGGAACTTTGATTGTTGGTTAACTTATGTGCAAGTGTGGCGCTTACTGTGGTGATATTCTTGCACGGTTGCGCCGTGGAAATCGCTACCATTTCCCTGCAAGGCTTCCACTTAATTTAGCCAGGTTGGAGGTAACAGTTATTCCATTGTTTATTGTATGAAAATTCTTTCACACACTAAGAAAAGCTTCTATTACTTACCATCATTTTATTTTAGAGTACCTATATTCAATATTTCCTATTTGAAAAAAAAAAGTATTTGAAATAGTGAATTTATCGGTAGTTGCCATCCCAGTCTCTAGATAAGGATAACTTGTATTTAATATTCATAAACATTTAACATTTCTCCAAAATTCTTACTTACATGAGTGCTGCTTAATCCTTCAAGTAGTAATTTTGTTATTTCATGTTGACGATCAAAATCAGTTTGCGCAAGTCTCAAATCATTTTCGGCCTGAAACATAATGTATTGATTAGATATAACTTGGAGAAAAAACATTGAATGTTATTCTACAAACTTTACAGCAAAAATAAATACATCTAGGAGTTCTCCAATTCTTGGTTGAGCATGTCAAATACAATGAAAAGGTTTGGAAGTGGTAGTATATTACCATATTGCTATAATACTTGGTACAGTAAATCAATCAGTATATCTCCTTGTGGCAATTTTTACAAAGATCCCATCGTTCTTTGTAGCCTCGGACCTTGCCACATGCTCTTTATCTATATTTCTGTAAGCCATTCATAGCTATTCATTTACCTAAATGCAAACTGGGAAAGTGGAAAAATAGCAACAGCTGGTGTTAATCTCATGGGATCACATGATAAGTATTAAGCAAAAATGCCAATAAAATATTATTCAGAATTGATTTTGTGTCGTATCTGACTATTTATGGCGTTATAAAATATAAAGATACCCACCGACTGTCTAGCCTCTAGTGATTTTGCTTTCTTTGCTCTGTTTTTACACGCATCTAAATCAAGTCGCTTTGTTTCAAGCGTCTTGCGTTCTTTTTGTATAGTTTTACAATCGCCTTCAAGAAAATTCGCGAGTGGTTTCAAAAAGTTTACTGCTGATGTATGAACGAGTGTTTTTTCTGATTCTCCTAATTTCATTTGAGTGTTTCCACATTTTATAAGAGACTTCCCTGAATAAATAAGTAAAGCAAAATAATAATGTTAATGAAACTAGCATCCAATTATTACCGGAGATATGATCACAAATGACACGATGGGAAAAGAGACATACCGTACCTACAAAAGCGAAAAAATGAATATTGTTTGAATCCTTTTCTAATAATTACAGTTCATAAAATCTAAACAGATTTTTACCAATATGCACATCAAATTTTGATTAGTATAATTACTATTGCATGGCAATATTCCTAGTCCCTGTGTTCTTAGAAAGAATATATTACGGTATATAAAAATCTCATCCTGATTAAAAATACGCTAGTACATTGTTTATAGCTAACACATATTGGAATTACTTTGGACACTATTCAGTACAAGTATGCTCTGATAGAGCCAATTACACTATAATTCTTGCTAATTTAGAAAGTTCACCTTGGAATAATATTTATGAATTTTCTACTCAAATATTGTTCCAATATGTACTGAACTTGAAATAAAAAAAAATTTCACTGGAAAAGGGAGTTTTACCAATCTGATCTAAAAAACTCCGTTATATCGAAATTTAGTTTCTTAAAAATATCTGATCGTAATGAGATTGAACTTGTTGCTGGAATAGGAATATATCACAAACAAGCATGATCTGTTAATAATAAAGGCTGACTGTCTATTTGCAAATGCCAAATAGATAACATAACCAAGAACCACTAGTTCTGGTTGTTGTATGACATGTTGTATGACAAAAGTGAGAATAAATCTTACCATAAGCTGTACCAGGACCGAAGCTATTCCCTGCTTCAATCATAGTAGCACCTAATATTTCTTGATTTGTTGCACGTTCGGGTGGCCTTCTATCTAATTTTGTGTAAACAAAATCTTCCATACGCATATCTAAAAAATAGAAAATATTTAGCTTTAGTTTTGCTAGATCTTGAGTGATCAGGTATTAGGCAAGAGTAATAACCATATTGAAATTCTAAAAATCCATTGACCTACTTGGATTCGGTTGTAATGATATTTCTGTCTGTGTTTTCAACTTTTCAGTCCAGTTTTTAGTGCGATCATAACGCTCGAGAAGATTTTCAAAATTTGCATCATATTCAGTTTTTTCTGCACTGCCCAGTTTTTCCTCTGTATACTGCAAAAAGGTTGGTTGGAAAAAAAAAACATGTATACCGTTGATAGAAAAAAGTTCCATATAAACAAAGTCACAGATCAGCAAGTTCGACAAATTATTAATAGGCCTACAGAGGATAGAGTACAGTAGTATAATAAATTTTGAAAGTATACTTCTATTCGAGGAACTTGTCACATCACTAAGCAGTAGTTGTTCATTTTAGCTGGTCCACAATAAAGAGATTGGTAAACATTAGGCCTTCATTCTCAAGAATGAAATCATTTCATAATTATAGAAGCACTGCATCAAAGATTTGTTGAAAAACGTTTAAATTGGTCAAAATAAATTGAATATAAATTTTATTTCTCACCTGCAAAGCTCTAGTAAACAATGTTGAAGCATCAGAGCTCATTTGTCTGACACCAGACATGGAAAATTTTGAACGTATATCCATCCTTATTTCTGAATATAACAAATCTCACCACACAAAATGGCAGAATTGTGTGTATGCAGTAAACACAATTCAGACTATCTCACTATAGGTTCTCTGAATTTTAGCAATAATACGAAATCAAGCAACATTTCCCAATATACAGAATTTTTCCAATGGCAGCATGGACTTTCAGACTTTAGACCACAAAATACGATATATTTTTACCTTTGCCTTAGGAGTTGTTTAAAAATAATAGTTTATAAATACATGCGGATTTATAGGTGATAGTGCAGTAGGGTACAGTTGCCCTATTCGGAAATGTCCCGACATTTGGTTCAATAAAACAAACACTTAATTTATAGACTGACGGCATCTGGCATAACGGCACATCGTGGCATGATTGTCTCGATAAAAATTTCAATCAATCGCAATGTGCATCAGCCAAAAATACCTAACCGAAATTGCTTTTTCTGCTAAAAACTCTCGAAACTACAATAAAAAATTTTTATCTGGTAAATCGAATTATTTTTCCGTGGAATCCAATGGTGACGCTTTTAGATGGCGCTTCCCTTTAGTTTATTGCACAGTGCCAATATGGAGGCCCAGACCGGCTCGAAAAAGAAGGGGTTACATTCACTGTTATAATAGATTCCATTCAATGTAACCCCTGTTACCGGTACTGTAACAATGGTACCGTACCGGTACTATCTACCGTATTCTTAGTATCGGAGAACTGCCGTACCGGTACCGGTACTGTATAATCGGAAAAGTCTGTACACCCGGAACGTCTGTTAGGGTGAGGTACCGTACAATATTTAACTTAAAATACATCTCCCTGTTTCCGCACTACCGGTACCTATCAGAATATAGATATACGGTACCGGTACCGGAACCGGTAGCCTAGCGCTAGCAGTACCGGTAATACATAAATACCGATATCGCTGTATTTTAAGAATTGGTAAATCCTGAAATCTGTAATTGTCGCTATATCTGTAATATCTTCAACAGTGGCGTAGCATCCACCCCCGCAGGCCGCAATCCCCGCGGTCGCGGCAGGGCCCGAGCAGTCCGCAGTCGGAAAACCAAAAGTTGTACTGCAAAACCAGTAATGCACATCTTATAGATGTTAGTTCTGCTCAAATCATTTTTTGTTACGTAACAATGCCAGGGAGTCGTCGATTATCGGCGTCTTGTGGTTCGATCGCACCGGCGAAATTACGAAGGCTGTCAGAATGACGTCGAAAGCAAAGCAAAACCTCTCGGTGACGCATAGAAACGCAGAAAAAGGGCAGAAGAGGAAGCACGTATGAAAAAAATTAAAGTAGGCCTAACCAAGATAAACGGCAAATTTTAGGTTACCATTGCCTATTAATAGCGACATGTTATGCTTTTTAACGAAATAAAAAAAGCGTTTCGGGGAAACGAGAGTCTCGCTACGCCACTGATCTTCAACATTTAGTTTCCAAATATTAAAAATTACTACTGGTGGTATTCGATGACAAAAACTTGGGACACTCCACACTTGCACATTATTGTTTTAATGAAAATGTTGAACAGCTAAAATAATATTGTTATATCTTGCCATGACTTGGCCAGACCTAGTCCAGCACCAAAGAAATGGTATTGTGACATGCATGAGTATATATTTTTTAAATATATAGGTAGCTGTCATACCCGGATGATATTTTCTTGAAATAACCGCACACATTCTATCACTTCACGCTCGTGTTTTTACCTTTTTCTAGCTGTGATGTCCTTATCATACATGCATGGTCTTATGTTCGAGTGGTGGTATAAGGGTTGTAGATAGTATAATATAGTTCCTGCAAGGTTACTAATTATTAGGGATGGGCCGGGATTCGGGTCGGATCCAGGGATTTTTTGGACTCGGATTCGATTTCGAGTCCACGTCGTTCTCACCGAGTCTATAATCCATCCTGTTTTTACTAATTTACACCTTTGTTTGTACTTTTACCCCTATAAATCTCACTACATACCTTAACTAGTTGAAATTCAAGGTTAGATAGGTAACAATATCACTCGTGTGTATTATAAACACTGCCAATAAAAACGACGACAGTTATCCAGATAATATAATGCAAGTTAAAAACTATTGATAGCTTATAACAATGATTCGCCAGTTGCCTTCAAACTATCTATCCTTTTTGGTATACATGTGGTACACAATAAAATATGCGTTAGCGCAATATTTTTAAGTTTTCGATTCGCGTGTATAAATATGAAACATGCGTAGGATCAACCCAAGGGGGAATCTCATCAATACCTCTTTTAAATCGAGTTTATTACGTGCAATCCTTTTTCCAAAAAGGGAGCAATGGAAAGCATGGAGCGTTCTAGAACATTTACATGAACTACTAAATTGCAAGCATTGTATAGACGACGAGTGGCATCTCTCTACCATTTGCGCACGCGACATAGTAAATTTGAGGCTAGAAATATCTGAAATTATGGGAAAGCCGAAGCTTTTTATTTTCCATATTGACATGTAAGAATTTCTAAATAGCCGCCCAGAATTGACGCAAGGTGGTGGGCTGGAAATCCAGTTAACAGCCAATTAGGCGCGCATTCACCCACGTTTACGTTTGTATTATGGCCGCCAAAAAAAAGAAAAATATATTTTTAAATTGTTTCAACAGCTATCTGCGGAACCATTAGGGAAAAATATGAGCTACAACGTATGTTTGTGAGCGTGCGATGCTGTAGTATGGTCAAAAACGTGTTTTTCTACTTTTACATTGTGACGTCATTATTCGGATTCGTCGAATCTCTGTAATGCCGCGTTCCCCTTCACCCAATCATTGAAACATCTACTCGCAGTTTTGTTTTTCAGGTTACTTCAAAGTGATTAAATGAAGTAAAATACATAATGAAAAAATCAAACAAAGACTCCGATATCCTGTGAAATAACAATCTTATTTCTATATCCTTGTGTGAAATCAATACCCAAGAATTAAAAAAACCTCACTTACACCCGTTGTAACCAAATTATTTCCATATCCTACTTTACTTAATTATAGTAATTTTATTGTTACCGGTAACTTTAATTACTTATTACAATCTGGACTATAATTTGGCAATAATAGGCTCTAATTTGGGGAATGAAATGGTCTCGCCCACCTCTTCATGCACCCAATTCTGGCAACTTTGGTTGGGCAACTTGGCATTTGACTCCAACTATAATCAGCTTGGCAATCCTTTTATATTTTAATTAACGATTAGAAGATCGATCAATTTGGCAATGGCAACCATTACAAAATTATCAATATGGTGTGGCATATATTTTTTTCGCGTTTTATTCTTACTTAAATAACTTCTCAGTGGTTGTGTGTGTGTGTGGCTGGTGGGTGCATGTGAGCGTGTGTGAAATAACTTAATAATTTTAGGTGAGTAAACACGTACCACTTCCTCTTGGCAAAACCTTCCATCTTGTATTTTGTACGTCATAAATCTTATCTAAGGTTGCGTTTGCTCCTCTGATTTCATAATCAGTTTTTATTTTTTTTTATCCGTCAAATCGTAGTAGTATATATTTACGGTCAAATGTATTGTTATGCTGATTATGGAGTCGAAATAAACTTATACTTATATACTGTCATATCAGCATATACCGGTACCTGTATACTGGTATACCGTGCCATACAATTCGGAATCGAAATAAACTTACCCGTACCGTATATTTTCTGACTTTATTTATACCAACTTGTATTTCTGTACTCTCTTATTCTATATAGCCTACAATTGTACAAATGACAATATGTGACTTGTAGTGCATAGACGTTGCACCGTTGTAACATAAAGGAAAACACCAAGAGTCTAAAGACTCTAAAGCAGACGGCGTAGACGCCTAAACCAGTGCCTTCAACCGGGTATACGGTATACCCAAGTGTATACTGGACAATAAGTTGGGTATACAACTGATAAAGGGTGTACAGCCTAAGTCAGGGATTCTAAACTCTAAAAATATAAATTTTTAAAATATTCAAGCTGAGACAACAATGCGGCGCACATGAAAAATTAATGTTTATTCAAGCCTTAAATAAACATTGGTATTTGTAAGGTATACAAAGTTCTTGAAAAATTGTAAAAGGTATACCAGTAGTATATATTTACGGGTATACCACGATGAAAAAAGTAGTATACAATAACTATACTACTAACTATACAACAAGAGAGCTATGCTCAAATATATGGACACGTAGAGTCACATAATTTTGATGACGTCATAGCGAAAAAAAAGTAATAGCCTTCTGGAGAAAATTTTTATCTTTAACCACTAAAAATTTCAAAGCAATTGGTCCAGTATTCGAAGAGAAAAGCGACTTTTAAAAACGTGTCAAGCGGTACTGAGTTAGCAGTCAGGCAGCATCTTACCTGTACACTGTAGGCCATATACGGTAATTGATCACAGAACAGTTGTTCCCTTGCAAATTTTATGTTGTTTACACTTTAGGACAGATAATTGATCACAGAACAATTCTTCCCTTTCAAATTTTATGTTGTTTCCAGTAGACTCTCATCAAAATAAACAAATATAGTAGGCTACAAGTGCTACAACGCTTGCATTACTGCACTGGTAGGACCGTGAAAGAATAAGTTACGGTAATTTCATTGTGGTAAGACACCGGTACCGGCACCAGTACCAGTATCGTACTTACGTACTGAGCTACCAGTACCGGTTAGCAGTCAGCCAGCATCTTACCTGTACACTGTAGGCCATATACGGTACCGTAATTGATCACAGAACAGTTGTTACCTTGCAAATTTTATGTTGTTTACACTTTAGGACAGATAATTGATCACAGAACAATTCTTCCCTTTCAAATTTTATGTTGTTTCCAGTAGACTCTCGTCAAAATAAACAAATATAGTAGGCTACAAGTGCTACAACGCTTGCATTACTGCACTGGTAGGACCGTGAAAGAATAAGTTACGGTAATTTCATTGTGGTAAGACACCAGTACCAGTATCGTACTTACGTACTGAGCTACCAGTACCGGTACCGAACCTGTAGGTCTGATATTCCGTTCCGCATACGATAGGCTATAAAACTTGCATTGCAGCATTAGTAATACCGCGGAAGGAATAAGTCAATTTCACTGCGTTACGGTACCTGTATGGCAACTTACCAGTACCGACCTACAGTAGCTGTAGTACTGAGCAAGACAATCGATCGCGAAACCGCTTGAAATAAGTGTAAAACAGTGTTCCCATGAGTAAAAATAAATACCGCGAAATTTTGTATGAAATATCATATCTCATAGGATTCATATAAAATTTAAGAATAAACAAAAGTAATAGCCTTCTAGCGAAAAAATTAATCTTTAACCACTGAAAATTTCAAAGCAATTGGTCCAGTATTCGAAGAGAAAAGCGACTTTTTAAAAACGTGTCAAAGAACAACAAGAACAAGAACAACAACAACATAATATTGAAACGATCGTTATGTCCACTACGTGTCCAATAACCATGCGTTAGTATATAACTAATGGGTATCTTGCGCTTTGGATTGTCTGATGAGGTTTCTAAAATCTAGGGGACCTCCAGAAGTATGTGCACCAAGATGGCACACAACCTGAACACGGTGGTTGTACCAGGTT